TACATTAATTGATTTTGAAATGTTGGACCAGCCTTGGATACCTGAAATAAATCCCATCTGTTCATGATATATAATTCTTTTGATACAGTGTTGGATTTGATTTCCCAATATTTTTTTATTTTTCAATCAAAATATTTCAATCAAATATTTTTATTTTCCTCATATTTAAGATTTTTGTATCTATGCTTATGAGACAGACTGGTTTGTAGTTTTTCTTTATTGAAATGTCTTTATCTGGTTTTGGTATTAAGCTAAGGCTGCTTCTCATAAAATGAGTCAGAAAGTGTTATGTTGCTTCTGTTTTCTGGAAAAGATTGTAGAGACTAAGTATCATTTTATATGATTCCATTTTCACCCCTCTCTAAGCATATCAATTATGCTTCCTTTTATAATTTTTAGTGGTTGCCTTAGAGTTTGCAATACACATTTACAACTAATCTAATTCCACTGTCAATTAACCCTATATCATTCCACAGAGAGTGGAGAGACCTTATAACTTAGTTATATATGCTAAACACTAATTCCACCTTCTGTCCCTTATAATATTAACTTATTCATACGCTAAAATTATCTAACACATTGCTATTACTTTGAATAGTTTTCTTTTAGATCAGTTAAAATAAGAAAATAAAATATTTTACTTTCACGTATTCCTTCTATGCTCTTCCTTTCTTTATAGAGATCTGATTTTCTAACCAATATCATTTTCCTTTTCTCTGAAGAGCTTTAAAGAAAAACATTTCTTATAAGACAAGTTTACTGAAAAAAATTCCCTCAATTTTTGTTTGTCTGATAAAAATCTTTATTTTTCCTTCACTTTGCAGGATCTTTTTGCTGGACAGAATTCTAGGTAGGTGGGCTCCCCCACCCCCCAATATTTTAAATATTTCACTCCACTCTCTTCTTGCATGTATGGTTTCTGAAGAGAAATCCAATGCAATTCTTATCTTTGTTTCTCTATAGGTAAAGTGTTTTTCTCTGGCTGTTTTCAAGATTTTCACTTTCTCCTCTCAAATGCAGTTTTCTGTGTTTGAACAATATGCTTAGGTGTAATTTCTTGGTAGTTATTCTGCTCACTGTTCTCATCCCAGATCCTGGATCAGTGATCTAGTATCTGTCATTAATTTTGGAACATTCTCAGCCATCCTTGCTTCAAATATTTCTCCCTCTGCTCCTCTCTCTCTTTTCCTTCTGGTATTCCAATAATGTGTATGTTACACCTTTTGAAATTGTCCCATAGTTCTTGGATATTCTGTTCCATTTTTTACAGTCTTTTTTCTCTTTGCATTTCAGTTTGGGATATTTGTATTGACATGTCTTCAAGCTTATTGATTTTTCTTTAGCCATATCCCAAGGATTCGATGAGACTCTCAAAGGAATCATTTCTATTAGTGCTTTTAACTTCTGGCATCTACTTTTGATTCTTTCTTAGAGTTTCTATCTCTCTGCTTACATTATCCACTTGTTTTTGCATGTTGTGTACTATTTTTAATAGGCTCTTTAGCATCTTGATCAGTTATTTCAAATCATATATATATATGTATATATATATATATATATATATATATATATATATATATATATATATATATATATATATAACCATTCCAGAACCTGTCATATCTGAGTTTGGTTCTGATGCTTGTTTTGTCTCTTGAGACTGTTTTTGTTTATTTTTTAGCATGCCTTGTAATTTTTCTTATGGAAAGCCAGACTTGATGTATAATGTAACAGGAACTGAGGTAAACAGGCCATTAGTGTGAGGTTTTATATTAATCTGGCCAGGAGTTGGTCTGTGTTTAATGTTTTCTCTAGCTGGAAGTATCACTGGTTTCCATTTCTTCTGGTTTCCATGTCCGTTTTTGTCTCCCGTTTTCTTTGGGGTTCCCTAAAAACTTCTTAAATGGATTCTGAGTTTTGCAGGTCGTTCAGTTGTAATCCAGTTATTATACTGAAGCCCTGTTTAGGTGGTGCTAAGGTGTGGGGGAGGGGAGACATTCTACAATCCTATAATTCTCAGGCTTTCAGTGCGCCTGTGTCCCCAGGCTGTAACCTTCATAAGTGTTCCACGGCATTTTTTTCTCCTCTCTCTTAGATGAGACAGGAAGGATAGAGGGGCCTGCACCTTCTCCCACACTGGAGAAGGCTTTGGTAAAGTTGTTTCACTTGCTAGATAGCCCTTTGTTAGGTAGAATTTCTGGGTGTTTTTTAAAATGATTACCTTTCCCTTCCCCATGCCAGGAACAGGAGATGTCTTTCTTGGCTCTTCAACTTCAGAACCTAGTGGGGTTCCTGGAGGTGACAGTCATGAAAATGTGGGTCCCCCACAGATGGCAGTCTCCAAGAGTTTGTCATTCAAACACTAATCTACACTCTGCCTCAAGCAATTTGTCAAAGTTAACACAGGTATTGCTACCAGTTTATGGCTCCAGTGCTTTCCACTCCTAAAAGCAGATCTGGGCTGTGATTTTCCATAATTGCCTGTCTCTCCAGATTTCAGGGTTGCAGTTTGCTCTGGAACTTCAATTCTCTCCTGGGTCGAAGAAAAAGTCATTGATTTTTAGTTTGTTGGGCTGTTTTTCTTGTTGTAAGACGGAGTGGTGACTACCAAACACTTCACATGTTGGAGTTGAAACCAGAAGTCTGAAACTAGTTTTTTTTATTCAACATTATGTTTGGGAGTTGCATCTAGGTTGATACCAGTAGTTATATTTTATTCATTTTCTCTATTGTATAGTATTCTATTTTATGACTATACCACACTTTATCCATTCTCTTGCTCATGAACATGTATGTTGTTAACAATGCCACAATGAGCATCCTTGTAACATCTTCTAATGTGCATGTGTGAAAGTTCCTCTAGGATAGGTAGCAGTGGGGTTGTTGACTTTTAGTATGTGAACACCTTCCATTCTACTCGATATTCCCATGGCGTTCTTGAAAGTGGTTGTACTCATTTATATTCAGCTAGAAGTATATTAGAGTTCTTACTCTTCCATATGTTCACCAATACTTGGCATGGTCAGGCCTTTAAATGTATGCCAACATCCTGGGTATTAAATGGTATCTCATTATAGTTTTATTTTGCATTTCTCTGGTTACTAATGAGACTTCATAAGTTACCTGGCTGTTCATATTTTCTCCTCTGTGAATTGCCTATTCATATCTTCTGACCATTTTTATTTGGTCGTTTGTGTTTTCTAATTGCTTTGTAGGGAAGGATTTCCTTAAAATGTCTCAATAAAGCACAAACCACCAAATAAAATACTGATGCTATGATTACATTAAAATGAAAGACTTCTGCTTAACTCAAGACATCAGAAGAAGTGTTAAAACGATAAGCCACCTACTGGGGAATATATTTGCTAAATAAGCAGCAATGGTTTGATTTCAGAATTTAAACATTTTCTCTATAAATAGTATGAAAAACTTAATAATCAAATAATGGGCAGAAAGGAACAGGCAACTCACAGAAGTTTCTTGAAAGGCTTATAAATGTGTGAATATATGTATAATTTCACTAGAGATCAGGAACATGCAAATTAAAACAATGAGATCCCTTTCAAATATATTAGACTGGAAAAAAATTAAAAAGTCTACAAAGTCTTGGCAAGGATGTGAAAAAGATCTCTGAAACTCTGGCCATGGAATTGAGGATATACATTCCTTATATCATAGTAATTCCATTCCTAGGCATGCAAAGTAGAACAGTCATTCTTAAAATGTCAGTCTCAGACCAGGAGCAACAGCATCTCCTAGGAACTTGTTGAAAATGCAAATTCTCACGCTGTACTCCAGATCTACTGAATAAAAAAGTCTGAGGGCGGAGCCCAGCAATGTGTTTTAACAAGCCTGCCAGGTGATTCTGGTGCACACTAATATTTGAGAATCACTGCAACAGAACAATTTTTTCCAACATTTTTGACTAAGATCCTCAGGAAGAAATGCATTTTACATTCTGGCCCATACACATATATCCCCCCCCTCCCATACACACAGGCATGCACGCAAACGAAAAGCTTCAAGAAACAGTAATTATTCTTACTCTATGGAATACAGTTTGATATTGTCTATTCTATTCTATTTCATTTCATTAAAAATTGCAGGTTATAACTGACTAATTGTGCAATACTGTTTATTGCAGAATTGTCTAATAGTAAAAAATGAAAAGAAAAATCTTCAGGAGAATGGATAAATGAAGTATACTATATTTCTATTACAATGGAATACTATGTAGTTCCTTATATCATTAGAAATAAATTTCAAAAACATTATGTACATTGAGTCAAACAAGCAAATTGTAGAAGGATATGTACAGTATGATTTCATCTATATAGTTTTACAATAGGTAAAACTATATGTTGTATATCGTTTTACAATAGGTAAAACTATATGTTGTTTATGACTATATAGCTATGACATAAAAATATAAAACAAGGATTATTTATAACTTACTTGGACATTTGCCAATTTCTCAAGATTTAGAAGTCCTGGTTTCACTTTGCTGCTTAGCTACTAGCAACTTAGGTTATATGTCATATGAAATCCAGGTGCAGTATTCTGAAGAGAAAACTCATGTGATAACAGGAAACCGTACTCACAACCAGACAGTCGATTATTTACTGACTAATTCCAGAGGCACCATGGCTACCAGATATGGTGGTCCTATGAATACTACTTGATTTATTACTACCCTAGGAAATTGGAGGTTACTTGTTCTTCAATTCAGGGCTTCTTGTAGGTATGAACTAGAGTCTCTTCAAGATTTCTTTAAAATCCTAAGGGTAGCTTAGGACCTCAAAACCCCACAAAGACCATCACAGGAAATATGCTACTTACATTGTATGCAGAGAAAGAATAGTCAAGGTCAAGGAAAAACACAATCACCGTGCCTACGTCATAATTCTTCGGTATAATTAAAGCAAATTTAAAGGTATTACTTTAGGTAGAGGTAAATTAAATTAAAACAACCCATGTTTTTTTCTTGGTTTAGCCTATACCTTGTTTGGCTCCCCTGGATTATATGAAGAAAACATAGGAATTTTTCGGATCTCTTCCTCTGACAAACGATTTCTCTGGATCTCATCTTCTGGGACAAATCCTATTGGCTGCGTCAGCTTCTTAGGCCCAGTCCAACACTGCTCAGGTGAATTAGCAATAACTTTTGCCACATGGAGACTGGGACCTTTACCCTGTGCTGCCTGTTTTCCCTTGTCCTGGAGTAATGATGTGTTCTCAGCTGTGCCACTATCTCCCACTGATGTAGCTGAGACCAGTGAGTGGGAAGCAAAGGGTTCACCTCTCATAAGTTGGAACTCTTCAAGACGTTTTTTCATTATCATCTCTTGGTAAAAATTCTCCAGGTTGTTCATGGGATCACTTTTGCTCTTCTTTTGGGGTTCATCTGGATCAAGACAAAGAGATAGGGAAGTTCTACAAAGCCTACCAATACAATCTTTGACAATTAATAAATATTAAATCTTGGATCTCAGATATAGAAATTCTCCTGGGGCAGGTGCTTAAAACCTGTGACAAATGACAACAGTATATAGCGAGTTTATTCTAGTGCACCTCAAACAAGGCTGGAACTATGGTGAGGCAAGTGACGCATTTGGGGTGCAAAATTCAAGGAGGTGTTCACTCTCAGGGTCATGCAAGTACATGCACTTAAGTGATAAGGACATTTGAAAAATGTAACTTGTATGACCTTATCACACTTCACAAAATTAGTAGAAATTCCTTAGTATCATCTAATACCAAGTTCATATTCAAATGGCCCTGATTATCTCAAAGATAGCTTTTAACACTTGGTTGTTCTATTTACGATCTAAACCAGCCTTTCGCTGTGATATCTCTTAAGACTCTTTTACTTTAAAACAGTATCCCTTCTTTCCCACCCCTCCAACCCATTTCCCCCCAATCCCATGGATTTATTAGAGGAACATCATTTGTTCACAGAACAAATGGGTTTGACTGATTGTTCCTCATGGTATTGTTTAACTACTCCATTCCTAACAATCTGGCAGTTAAATCTAGAACCATTTTATCGACTACAGTATCCACTGATCACACAAATCTATTTAATCTTTTAAATGTCAGTTCCTCAGTTAAACTAGTCACATTTCAAATACTCAACAGCCATGTGTGGCTAGTGGATACCGTATCAGGCAGAAAAGAAAAAACCATTTACATCATTGTAGAAAGTTGCATTGGCTAGTACCAATCTAGGTTTGATTACATACAGGCTCAATATTTTTAGGCAAGAATCCTCCATAGATAGACGTGTACTTCCTATTCCATCATGAGGCACATAATGTTTGGTGGTCCCATTTTTAGTGATGCTGAAATTGATCAGTGGATTCAGGTGGTGTTAGCTTGCTCTCTCCATTATGAAGTTTTCCAATTCACCTTTCACCTAATGGGTTTTACATCCGTTGATGACCACTGCCTAGATCTATTAATTTATTAAGAGTTGTGAAATGGAACACCCCTAATTCTATTATTTCTTTTGCATTTATTATCTGGAATTCTATAATGAACTTACCGTCATCAACTATTTAGTTTCCCTATATACAGTTCACACAGGAAAGGCAGGATAAATGCTTGATTTTTTTCCCATTTATTTACCAACTATGAGAGTAATGAGTTAGTACCTTAGAAATGTTCAATGGTGACAATGATTATTTTTAATTGTGAGATCATGTATTTTCTTATATTTGATTTTTGTCAATTAAATGTACTCATTATTCTTTTTTGTGGTCAAATTATGTCACTTAGGACCAGTAGTGAGAGTCCCTTCAAATTGGCTCTGTTATTATTTTTCAGTTTTCTAGCACAGCAAGTTATCCGAAGCTCATCCTGCACATTTCCTGACTCAAACCTGGAATATTTCTCCAAGGACCCCTGGTTTCTTTTAGTATTTAGAAAGCACAATGTGTTACTAGGTATGTTCACTGTTGTTGAGTTATTGCTGCTTCTAGGCCTATTCAGTGGACAAAACTAGGACATTTTTGTCCACTGAAACGGACCGAGAGAGAATTGTGCTGAGTGGAGTAAGTCAGAGAATGACAAATGTCATATGATTTTACTTGTATGTGCAATCTAGAGAACAGGATAAATGAACAAACAAAACAGAAACAAGTTCATGGATACAGAGAGCATTTTGATGGTTGCCAGATGTGGGGAGGAGATTAGGGGGATGGGTGAAGGGGGAGGAGATTAAGAAGTACAAATTGGTAGTTATAACATATTCACGGGGATGTGGGGTGTAGCATGGGGAATATAGTCAGTAGTATTGTAATAACTATGTACGGTATCAGATGGGTACTAGATTTATCAGGGGATCACTACGTAAGTTATATACATGTATAATCACTGTGCTGTACACCTAAAACTGATATAATATTGTATGTCAACTGTAATTGAAAAAAAAATTAAAAAATATATATATATATAAAATTTTAAAGCAGGGTTTATAAAAAAAAAGCTAGAATATTTTTTTAAAGAGAAAAATAAATCATGAGTTCATACTGGTATTTCCAGTTCAAACTTAAGATTATAAGATTTATACTCAAATTCCTGGATTTTAGACTTGTATCTTTTTTCACATATGCTTAAAATATTGACACCTAATATTAACAAAATTATTTATTAGCTTTTTCCTACAATATATTTATAGAATTTTAAAATGTCAATAACAATACTAATATGACTATTAAGAATGAAACCATTGAATGCATTTTTATTTTTCTTTGCAGTTACTTTTGTCCTTAAATATACCCCATTAGAAATGTACAAATATTGTTTTAAATTCATTTTAGATAATTGTTTTCTCTGTATGGTTATGCTACTGACTTTATTTATGGTTAGGTTCATCCGCTTCAGGTTGTCCATGAATTTTAAGGATTGATTTCTTTTCCCTTTTTGATTAAATTTTTTTTAAGATTTTATTGGGGAATTGGGGGAGGGGAACAGTGTTGGGGAATTGGGGAAGGGGACCGGCCAAGTTGTTGTTCTTCAATCTTTGTTGTGGAGGGCACCAGTCACCATCTGGCTTCCCGATGGCAGCTCGTGGCCTCTAAGCTCAAGGTGCTGTGTTCAATCTTAGTTGCAGGTGGGCGTAGCCACCATCCCATGCAGGAGTCAAAACAGCAGCCTTGTTGTTAAGAGCACGCACTCTATCCACTGAAACATCTGGGTGGCAGCTCAGCTCAAGGTGCCGAGTTCAGTCTTAGTTGTGAGTGGGCGTAGCCCACCATGGAACAGGCAATCTGGTTGTTACACCAGCTGAGCCATCCTGCCACCTGTTGGCAGATCAGCGACAGCTCAGCTCGGGTGCAGCGTCACTGGCCCATGTGGGAATCAAACCAGCGGCTCTGTTGCTCAGAGGTGATGCTCTTAAGCCAACTCTTAACCAACTGAGCCACTCGGCCGGCCCCTGATTAAATTTTTTAAATCATGCAAAACCATCACAGAAGTCTCACTTCCATCTCTGTCCCCTTCATCCCATTTCTCTCCTTTCCCCAAAATAATAATTTTTATTATGTTTTGGCTTTATGGCTCCCTTGTTTTTTTGAAAACTTAAGCAAATAGGTACACATACACAGTGTGTGTGTGTGTGTGTGTGTGTGTGTGCATGTGTGTGTATTTCATTAGTTACACAGCTGTCCTACATAAACAGTAACTTACTACAAACACTGTTCTACAACTTACTTTTTTGCACTTAATAATATATACTGGAGATAACACCATCTTATTATGTGGGTGTACCATAGTTTGTTCCAGTACTCCCTTCTGATGCACACTGGTCAGTATCCAGTCTTTTTTGCTGTTATGAATAATGCCCTGACAAACAGCTTTGTGCTTAAAGGATTTTGTATTTTCCCAGTATATCTTTGAAATAGATTCCAAGAGGTGACTTTGCTGAGAAAGGGTAGAATGTGTATGTAATTTTTCAATATAGCACTCAATTCCATTCTGTAAGAGTTGTACTAATCTGCATTTCCACCAGCAAGGTATCAGAATAACTATGGAAGGATTTCTTAAGTCCCCAAAAGTACTAAGAATTAAAGGTAAATATTGACAGATTGAACTGTATTAAAATAAAAAACTTCTGTTCATCAAAAATACCATAAAGAGGTAGAAAAGTCCGGAATGGGAACAGGTCTTTGCTGCCCAAAAAACTGATAAAGAACACAACCATTAGGAAAACTGGCAAAGGTTGAAAAGGTGCCTCACAAAAGAGGAAATACACATGGCTGATAAATATATGGAAAATTACTCAACCATATTAGAATTCAGGGAAATGTTAATTAAGAAGAAGATGAGGTTCTAATAGAAAACTGCCGTATTGGCAAAAAATTAAAAAGAATGCCAATATCACACATCAGTGAGACTGTGGAGCAAAGGAATCCCTCATACATTGCTGGTAGGAATGTGCAACCATAATGCAAGTCACTATGACATTATTTACTAATGTGGAGTATGTGCTCATATTATGACCCACCAATTCCATTTCCTACATACATACTCTAGAAAAAATTGGTCATATGAGCCCCAGGATACAATAATAAAAATATTTAGATCAGGGCTATTTTTAATAGCCTGAATCTAGCTAAAATACAAGTTTCCATCTAAGAAGAGTCAATTATAAAATTGTAGTAAGTTTATATAATGAATACTACATTCCAGTGAAAATGAACACATTTCAGCTACATGTGACCAAGTGGATGAATCCTAATGTATAAACTCAAAAATATTTTTTCAGTGACTATTATGATCCATCCACTATTCTAGGTTGTTGAGATACATGAATAAATAAAACAAAGTTCCCTACCTTCATAGAGCTAAGTGAATTATATTAGAAAGTTATGTGAGAAGGCAGTAAGTGCTATGAAACAGAAAAAAATATAGCAGTATATGGTCTGATTGGAAATGCCAGGGGGTGGTAATATTGATGTTGGCAATTTTAATGTTGGTCTGGGTAGGTCTCATTGAGAAGATGATATTTAAGAGTAGACTTTAAAAGTGTGAGGGAATCCACCGTGCTGATATTAGCATGAGGGCCCCAATGTGGGAGTATGTCTCAAAAATTTTCTAAAGTCTGATATCATACAATGTATTTCTCTGACCACATGCAATCACATTAGAGATCCACTACTGAAAGAAAGCTGGGAAAACATAAATATTAGGAAATTAGGCAACACACTTCAAAATAACCCATAGGTCAAAAAACTCACAAAGAAAATTTAAAAATATTTTGAACTAAGTGACAATACAACATATCAAAATTAATGGATTCAGAGAGAAATTTATAATTTTAAAAACCTATATCAGAAAAGAATAATGGTTTCAAATCTATAAGCTGAGCTTCCAACTGAGGAAACTAGAAAAAAAAAGCGCAAA